GAATAGAGAGAGAAATAGAAAGAGAGAAAACACCAATTATGTAAGGAAAGGTCACTAAAATGTGTAAGGAAATATTATTAGTACTTGATCATTATTAATGTATAGATAACTGTGGGACATTACACACAGACACACACACACACAAACTATGACAGTGCCAGGAAAACACCAAAAAATAACAAGTTTCCGAAGTGAGGTGTGGGAGGAGTCACACATGGGTATTACCACAGCCCTTTTGCTCTGGAGACTGAGGTAAATCTTGAGGCCACACCTCCATTCCTCCTTCTGACCTCCCAGATTAACCTCAGTCTCCAGCCCAGAAGGAGTGTTTTACCTGACTCTCCCTCACTTTGAAGACTAATGTTTTTTTCCACAGGATTTTTACAGGAGTTTTTCAGCTTTTTTGCTAGAAAAAGTATCTACAGGATTCTACAGTCCACAAGAATTTTTACAGGATTTTTGGCAAGATTACCTGAAGATCGCTTCACCCTTCCTTGCTGTGCTCAGCATTGCTAGCCAAGCTATCTCGCTGGCTAGCGCGACCCCAAGCGACCGGACAAAGGGCTGCGCGGGGCGTTTTGGAGGATCCACGCACCCAGGAGGCCATCGGAGGACCGGGGACAGATTCCTCCCTCAATGCTCCCAAGCTTCAGGGAATCAGGTCGCAGATCGGCGGCCACCATCTTGGTCCTCCGCCATCTTAGGAGCACGTGAGCGAGCGTGTGACCGGCGTTCCCTCTACGGATGCCGAAAGCGCTCAGAAGAGCACCGCTGAACTCCGCTGGCTCTCCGGGGAGGGCCCAATCCAAGCGGTGCACTGGCAGTTGGGCCAAAGATCAGTGGCAGGGAAGCCTAGCAGCCAATGCGCTATACAAGCGAGGCCGGCCAGAAGAAAGGAGGCGGTGAGCGGCGTAACCATGAGTACAATGCCGGAGGCGGTGAGCAGCGGGGGTGCCAGTCCCAGAGCACATGTAGATTTGGATCCGGGCGAGGGGACCTCCAGGGGGGTTCCCCCAGTCACCAGAGGGAGGTCCCCCGCCAAGAGAGGCACCCCCAGGCCCCATAGGAAGGGAATTTCTGAGAAGGAGGTTTGGATCACCAGGGCCTCCACTAGAAGGTTCAGGGCCACCATCAGCCCTTCCCCTTCCAGATCTCACTCCCCCCTCAGGCTTCCGGCCCTGGAAGAGACCCGGGTGGCATCCCCCGATTCCCCTAGGGGCTCAGGCAGAGGGCACAGCTCCCTATCGCCCCCCCCCTCTTGCCTGCACACCCATCTGAGGCTAGGAGTGACCCTTTTGGGTGCAGGGCACCCAGTCCAGCCAGGCATCGCAATCCCCTGAACCCAGGGATTATCTACAGCCCCCAGAACTCCAGCCTTCCCTGCCTGAGCTTCCTGCAAGCTTCCAGGAGGTGTTAGCCAGGGCCATAGCCCAGGGGATTGCTTCTGGGATGAAACACCAGCCCCAGAGCTCCAGGAGTGGGTCTTCCCGGGACCATTCCAGGGGTCACCAGGATCGCTCCAGGGCCTCTGCTACCAGAGGGCCCAGGTCTCCCTCCCCCTCCATTGCCAGTGAGGCTTCTGAATTAGAGGAGGGTGAGTTGAAGGAGATGGGGTTTTCTGAGGATGAGGATGCCCAGGCACCGGAGGCCCCCAACATCGCTGGCCTCTTTCCCCCCTGCTTATTTAGCTCCGAGGTGGCGCAGTGGGTAGAGTGCAGTACTGCAGGCTACTTCAGCTGACTGTTAGTTCAGCAGTTCAGCGGTTCAAATCTCACCAGGCTCAAGGTTGACTCAGCCTTCCATCCTTCCGAGGTGGGTAAAATGAGCACCCAGACTGTTGGGGGCAATATGCTGACTCTGTAAACCGCTTAGAGAGGGCTGAAAGCCCTATGAAGCGGTATATAAGTCTAACTGCTATTGCTATTGCTATTGCTATTGCTATTGCTATTCATAAGGCCAGGGCCACAGCAGACCTGGATATCCCTCCAGATCCCAGGCCTGCAACTGCCACGCCTAGCACTAGCGGGGGTAACAAGAAGGGACCCTTCCATAGACCACCGGTGGAGAAGGAGGAGATCCCCACTCCAGAGATGTTCCTGGAGGTGCTTAAATCCCAGTGGGTTAAGCCAGGATCATTTCCCAACCCGGGGGGCAATGATCGGAGGTTCTATAATCTCAATTCTACCTTTGCCCAAGCTCTTCATATTCCCGAGGTGGACACCCCAGTCGCCACCCTAGCTTCAGCTTCAGCCGTGGTCACCGGAGACATCGCCAACTGCCTTAAAGCAGAGGATAAGAAGGCAGACATCATTTTGCGTAAGTCATTCCAAGCAATAACCTGGGCCATTAGGGCAGCCACTTCTGCATCCTTTTTCAATAGGTCTACAGTGCTGTGGCTGGAACAGCTGAGAGACAGGACCCCGGAAACGGAGGTACGACTGCTGCAGGACATCTCTAAGGTGCTGGCAGCCACGCAGTTCTCAGCAGACGCCACCTTGGATGCAGTTAAGTATGCTTCTTGAGCCTTGTCATCCTCTGTAGTGTCCAGGCGCCTGCTGTGGTTGCGCCACTGGCAGGCGGAGTCCCGGGCTAAGTGGCACCTGGCAGGAGCAGACTACACCAGGGACAAGCTTTTCAGTGCTTCGCTGGATCCCATCCTGGTGGGGAACAAGAATAAGCGGAAGGTCTTCCCGGCTACGACCAGACGGTCAGATCACCGGCTGCTCCGTACCCCAGGAGAACATCTTACCGCCCGCCTGAATCGGACGTCCAGAACTGAGGCAGGAGGGGGTACACAGGTAAACCCACCAGTGGCTGGACAGGTTAGGTGGTCCTAATAGGCTGAAAACTATAAATTCATATTAGCTTGACATTTCACTCTAGTCCACTTTGACTTCTAACTTCCTCATAAGTATTACAACTATTACGGGAACATGTCGCAAGCTTCTGCACAAGGATGGCACAAGGAAGTAATGTGGGTGTAGAATAACTGAGAATAGCCAAATGACAGAATAATGTGGGCATCGCCTCAGCATTTTTTGTGTCTTGTTTTTATGACTTATAGGATTCACTTCTTGACTTATAGGATTCACTTCTGCATTGTATTTTTCCAAAATGTACTTCCCTGTCCTAAACAGGGGGCTTGGACAATCAATATGTGTACGCCTATTGTAACGACTACTGATTTACGAAGTTTGATTAAAAGATATAAAATCACTGCCCAGGGCGTAGCCCAGGCAGTTCAGTTTTTGGTGTGCAACACTCTGAACTCTTGATGCATCAATAAAGCTCTCGCACCTTCGTGGTCTCGAGTCCTGGTCTTTCGTAAGTAGATTGCTAAACAAAACCTCAATCTGCTGCTACAGAACCAGAGGTACAAGACCCCCAGGTTCCATCGACAGGGGGATAGGCAGTTTCCTAGAGACAGATTCAGGGGCCAGCAGCAGAGCAAGTGGCCCTTTCGAGGAGGGGGCGGTCGCCCATTCCGCAGGTTCAAGTGATCCGTTCGCGGATCACCTCATCGGCGGTCACCTCTCCCTCTTTGCGGATGCCTGGGAGCGCATCACTTCGGATGAGTGGG